GTGGGTGAGTGGGTGAGTGGGTGAGTGGGTGAGTGGGTGAGTGGGTGAGTGGGTGAGTGGGTGAGTGGGTGAGTGGGTGAGCAGGTGAGTGAGTGAGCAATAATGAGCATGCATCTGCAGCTTCACCACGTTAATAAGTCCACAAAAATGTGCAACAAAATATTTAATGTTCTCAATATAAATAACAACTGCTAAAGAATACAATATTCACTGTAGGCACATAGACCCATTCAACATTCCCATGTACCACGGCAGAAATGTGGCCCATTACTGACGTGACTTTCATTTAAAATGTGATTGCAATGGTTCACTCCCAGTGGATATTAACACCGGTTATAACATTGAGCATGTGTGAGTAAGTTGGGTTTTACGCTACTTTTAGCAATATTCCAGCAATATCGCGGCGGTGGATACCAGGAATGGGCTTCACACACTCTGCCATTGTAGGGAATCGAACCCGAGCCTTCGGCTTGACAAGCGAACGCTTTAACCACCGTTCCCCATTGAGCATGACACATAGTATGACAGAATGGATAAAAACCTATATACGTTGATACCTTCTTAAATCTGTACAGCCCAGTTCCCGAACCATATTACGTATTAGCAACGTCTGCACATAAACGACACTGATATGGACGGTATTATGTCATATATATCCACCGACATTAATTTTCATCTGTCTTATATATACACGTAACAAAATCTCTGTCTCATATGTACACATAGACAATTGTCTGTTTAACACATACACACAGACAAGTGATTGTTTCATATACACAAAGACAACTGTTCGCCTGATATACACAGTGTACATAGTTCATTTGCTGCCTCATATACAAAAACAAAGACGACTGCTGTCTCATATATACACATGGAGAATTTTTTGTCTCATATACACAAAGACAATTGTTCGTCTCGTATATACACATAGTCAATTGACTGTCTCGTATATACACATAGTCAATTGTCTGTCTCGTATACACACATAGTCAATTGTCTGTCTCGTATATGCACATAGACACTTGCCTGTCTCGTATATAAACATAGTCAATTGTCTGTCTCGTATATACACATAGACACTTGTCTGTCTCGTATACACGCATACTTAATTCTCTGTCTCGTATATACACTTGGACACTTGTCTGTCTCGTCTATACACGTAGTCAATTGTCTGTCTTGTATATAGACATAGAGATTTGTCTGTCTCGTATATACACATGGTCAATTGTCTGTCTCGTATACACACATAGTCAATTGTCTGTCTCGTATATGCACATAGACACTTGTCTGTCTCGTATATACACATAGTCAATTGTCTGTCTTGTATATACACATAGTCAATTGTCTGTCTTGTATATACACATAGTCAGTTGTCTGTCTCGTATATACAGATAGTCAATTGTCTGCCTCGTATACACACAAAGACAATTGTCTGTCTGGTAAAGAGACACATAGTCAATTGTCTGTCTCGTATATACACATAGTCATTTGTCTGTCTCGTATATACACATAGTCAATTGTGTGTCTCGTATATACACATAGTCAGTTGTCTGTCTCGTATATGCACGTAGTCAATTTTCTGTCTTGTATACAGACATAGAGATTTGTCTGTCTCGTATATACACGAAGACAATTGTTTGTCGGGCATATACACATAGACAATTTTCTGTTTCGTATATACACATTGACAATTGTTGGACTCACATTTTCCCATGGACAATCTCATATACGCATACAAGTATATAATTCTTAGTATCATATATATACACACACCGACCATTTCATACACACATATAGTTAATGAAGTTGGACGAACATGAACACATGGCACGTTTGATAAATAACAAGTTCTTTTTATTCTTTGCATGACGTTTCAGAGTTTATTCTTTCTCCTTCATGACATAGTCAATTGTATGTCCCGTATATACACATAGTCAATTGTCTGTCTGGTATATAGACAAAGTCAATTATATGTCTCGTATATATACATAGTCAATTGTCTGTCTCGTATATACACATAGTCAGTTGTATGTCTCGTATATACACAAAGTCAATTGTTTGTCTCGTATATACACATAGTCAATTGTTTGTCTGGTATATACACATGGTAAATTGTCTGTCCCGTGCATACACATAGTCAATTGTCTGTCTCGTGAATACACATAGTCAATTGTCTTTCTCGTATACACACATAGTCAATTGTCTGTCTCGTATATACACATAGTCAATTGTCTGTCTCGTATATACACATAGTCAATTATCTGGCTCGTATATACACATAGTCAGTTGTCTGTCTCGTATATACTCATAGTCAATTGTCTGTTTCGTATATACACATAGTAAATTGTATGTCTCGTATATGCACATAGTCAATTGTATGTCTCGTATATACACATAGTCAATTGTCTGTCTCGTATATACACATAGTCAATTGTCTGTCTCGTATATGCACATAGTCAATTGTCTGTCTCGTATATGCACATAGTCAATTGTCTGTCTGGTACCTGCACATAGTCAATTGTCTGTCTCGTATATACACATAGACACTTGTCTGTCTCGTATAGACGCATAGTCAATTCTCTGTCTCGTATATACACATAGACACTTGTCTCTCCGTATATACACATAGTCAGTTGTCTGTCTCGTATATACAGATAGTCAATTGTCTGCCTCGTATACACACAAAGACAATTGTCTGTCTGGTAAAGAGACACATAGTCAATTGTCTGTCTCGTGCATACACAAAGCTATTTGTCCGTCTCGTAGATACACATAGTCAATTGTGTGTCTCGTATATACACATAGTCAATTGTCTGTCTCGTATATACACATTGACATTTGTTGGCCTCACATTTTCCCATGGACAATCTCATATACGCATACAAGTATATAATTCCTAGTATCATATATATACACACACCGACCATTTCATACACACATATAGTTAATGAAGTTGGACGAACATGAACACATGGCACGTTTGATAGATAACAACTTCTTTTTATTCTTTGCATGACGTTTCCGAGTTATTCTTTCTCCTTCATCATTCACCCGATGAGAAAGCAAGAATATACACGTTGTATAGTCGTCATATAAAGAATAAACGAAGATGTTATCCCTGGAACATGTCACGTATTCATATGGTCAATGGTCTGTCTCATATACACATAGCTTTCATACCTTGATATATTGATAAAGAGTAAACCGAGAAAACGACAAGCCCGTATTAATGAGGTTTCTTCGTGTTCTTTGCCTTTCTGTGTATCTTAATTAATGATGCTTCTGTCCCCGACGTTGTGAAGCGGGCAGTTATACTACTTGTTAGCTTCCATATGTTAACATGCATGGAACGTGACTTATTGATGTCCTTGCTTGTGCTAACATGGGACATGACTTATTGACGTCCTTCCTTGTGCTAACACGAGATATGAGTTATTGATGTCCTTCCTGGTGCTAACATGGAACATGACTTATTGATGTCCTTCCTTGTGTTAACATGGAAGATGACTTATTGATGTCCTTCCTTGTGCTAACACGAGATATGGCTTATTGATGTTCTTCCTGGTGCTAACATGGAACATGACTTATTGATGTCCTTCCTTGTGCTAACACGAGATATGACTTATTGATGTCCTTCCTTGTGCTAACACGAGATATGACTTATTGATGTCCTTCCTTGTGCTAACATGGAACATGACTTATTGATGTCCTTCCTTGTGTTAACATGGTACATGACTTATTGATGTCCTTCCTTGTGCTAACACGAGATATGACTTATTGATGTCCTTCCTTGTGCTAACACGAGATATGACTTATTGATGTCCTTCCTTGTGCTAACACGAGATATGACTTATTGATGTTCTTCCTTGTGCTAACATGGAACATGACTTATTGATGTCCTTCCTTGTGCTAACACGAGATATGACTTATTGATGTCCTTCCTTGTGCTTACACGAGATATGACTTATTGATGTCCTTCCTTGTGCTAACACGAGATATGACTTATTGATGTCCTTCCTTGTGCTAACACGAGATATGACTTATTGATGTTCTTCCTGGTGCTAACATGGAGCATGACTTACAATTTTACAAAGATTACAATTTTACAAAGAAACGTGTGTATACCGCATACCGTCTGAATATTGTGATGTATTGTAACTCAGTTATGGTGCAGTCTACACACATGAGGCCCTGGGCTCGGAGGGGTAGCTGAAGAACATACAGATCATAACGGACCTGATACAACATTTCTCAAGGACGAAAGAAAACACGTTGCTTCCGAAAAACGGAATTTAACTATTCCCTCTTTTCTTCATCAACTGACTTCAGAAGTATTCGAGGAAGCACCTTTCCCGAGAAAGAATATTCTAACGAACACATTCGGAGCATTGACATTGCATGAAATTCGCTGATTCCACGGTTTGAAAGACGGTGGTGCATAATCATGAACCACCGATCTGGTAGCTGTATGTATGAACTCCACCTATATGTTTGTTTCAGTATAAGGCACAGTGTGTGATGTGTCCAATAAGACGTGAAATAACAATGTGTGTCTAATGTCGCTACAAGGCACCACAATAACACAACGCAGTATCATCATCAATATCATGTGAGTTACTACATCCCGATCCAGGAGGGTGGGAAGAAGTCTGTGTAATTGGCCGAGAAGTGTCTCCTGAGTGGAGTCTTCTCGAGGGCTGGCCACTGATAGTACACAACCTCTCCCCCCGCCAGGAACCCCGCCCACCAACTGAACGACCCCACAGTAGTCAAACTGTGGTCACAGCTCACCAACACCGCCATGTCAACGTCAAACGTGTTCCCTTCCACGTAAAAAATGTCATCGCCAACAAAATGCTTTTTGGTCCACGTCATATCATTCGAACACACAATGAACAACGTGTTGGGGTATTTTCTCGGTAATATTGAGAGGCATTTCCTAAGTATTCTGGCGTTGCAACCGCATAACCAAATTTATGTTTAACCATATCGCCCCTGTCTCACATGGACGCCCACCAACACGGGCGGGTGTCCTTCACAGTCACATTCCGTTTATGGAACGTGTTTATAGCACCGTTTATAATGCCCATTGCTTTGTCATTGATTTCCTTCTTGAAGGTGAATTGTTTCTTGATTGAGTCCCGAACATGCTCGAAGTACTTGTAGGATTGTAAATAGCTTCCTACACATATGTTTTGTCTTCCGGAAATGTTCATGAGGCGCTCGTCGAACGTACAGTCCGCCCTAGAACCCATCCCCCTCGTTCCCCTGATCACACAATCAAAGTCATCCACTGTTTGAGCATTTAGTTTGAAATATTTGGTCAGACTTAACTTCTTATCAACAATCAGACTTCTGTTATTAGCAGCTGCTATCCCATATGACGATGCATACAGAAACAGAATATTACCGAGTCTCCCAATGGGTCTACAACACAGGAAGTTCTTCTTCTGTATGTACTCGTTCCTGAATGGGTTTTTACATACTATAGGTTTTGGTTTTGGAGGTGCAGTGGTCAATACTGGTCGTGGTGTTGTGGTCGTAGTACCCTTCTTGCTGAGAGCTGCCAATGTAGTGAGTATATTTTTTGGAGAGGTTGTTATGATGCTGTGTCTGACTGGTTGGGTTGTTGTTGTCTGCACTTTAGGTGGAGTTGATGCAGTTGTTGATGCTTGTCGTGGAGAAGATGCTCGAGAGTCCGTTGTTGTCCAGAGGAAATGCCCTGTAGTATTGTGACTCTCGTTTAGCATAGCAGCAGAGGGTTGATAAAGGTTCGACAGTGAGCTGTTGACAAATATGTGGTAGACTTGAAGCTCGTTTCGCCACTGGTAAGCCATGAGGATCGTGAAGACAGCAAACACAATCAGTACCAGGAAATCTGAAACAGAAACAAGAAAATGAAGTACCACTTCCTCATGCCCATGCTTGATAAGTAATAGTAATAGTAATAGTCCGCTTATATGGCGCTCATATCCAGGCACATTGCCTGCTCACGGGGATCATACAGCCATGCTGCCTGTTAGGCGGAATGAACTTAACACTCACATTGCCAGCACATCCTCACGGGTACCCATTTTACAGCTGGGTGAACTGAGACAATGTGGATCTAAGTATCTTGTCTAAGGATACTACGCAAATATGCCCACCTCGGGACATCTGTAAATAACAGTGATGCTGTGCTGTGCTGTAGGCCAATGGTTACAGGCCGGGAAAGCCACATTTCCGAAACAGATAGCCTAAATAGATGTGTCTCTCCCGGCAATAGTTACGGTTGCGTGAACACGGAATGTGGCTCTCCCGGCTATGCTGTCAAAACATGCTTAGTGATTTAAACGCGTTACCGTATTTAACAAAACAAAACACGTTTCGTCATAAGTTTATTACGAGCGTCAATGGTTCTGTATTTCTTTCTTCGTGAAGGTGCTGTCCACTGCCCAGAAAGTCTCTCTGTGAGAGACTGCTCACTCTGAAATAGCTTTACTATCTCGTAAATGTTAGGGTGGCACTTCTGGACAAGTCTCTTTACCTTATTGTGCCATACTTTTAGGTTATTGTTAGATTAATCTTAATCTAGGGACAGTCTTTTTCGGGTATTGCGATGTCATTGAACGTACTCATTTTAAATTCCTTAAATTAGCTACCGGTCTTAGATATAACATCCCGAACTTTATCGTTTATGGAGAACATGGAAGACAACCTATTCAGCTCCAAATCTCTAAACGATTAATTACTTATTGGTGCAAATTGAAATTTTCTCATCCAAACAATAAAATAGCAGCTTTCATTCTAGATTATATTATGGATGATGCTTCCTGGCTAAATCATGTGAAACATATATTTTGTAAATGCGGCTGTATTTGTAAACCCCTTTCATTATACTCAATCCTGGATCATATCAAAATCTGAATCAATCCTGAAAGACCAGTTTTTACAATCGTGGACCAGTGAAATGAAAAATTCATCTAAAGGACAATATTATAAGATTTTTGAAAAAACTCACCTTCACTCGACAAATACTTATTGCTATCTGAAAATATTTGGAAACCAGGTTACCTGTTCTATATTTTAAAACATCTAACCCTAAATTGCCAATAGAAAGTGGGAGATGGACGAATCTCGCATGAAAAGAAAGAGTATGTAACCTTTGTAACTCGCAGTTAACTGGGGATGAATTCCATTATATCTTTACATGTTCATATTTTAGCCAACAACGCATCTCTCGCCTAGAAGATAGCTCTTGTTTCTTCCCTAATCTCTCTACATATAAATAATTGATGTCAAGTACTAACATTTCAACAAACACCTATCTAAACTTATCAAATGTACGTGTTCTAGTTTTCAGTAATCATTGCGTATATTCCCCTGTCACCTTCTTGTATACTTTGTATATTCTGCATTATGTACTCATGTACCACCGGAGGTGGTTCCATTTTGAGTAATAAACTCTAGTGAAGAAGCTAAACACCACGCTTGAGAGTAAGAAAGATTATTAGTTTCTTGTGAAAACAATATTATACATGGGGACTCTCTTTTACCGGTTACGGTAATCCATTAATTAATTAATCTATTGGAAATGTGGCTTTACCGGCTACAGCCATGTAATTGAAATGTGGCCTTCCCGGCAATAGTCATTTTTTGAAATGTGGCTTTCCCGGCCTGACACTAGGCTAATTACCTATGTCATACTTAATAATAGCGTAACTGGATTGCCGTGTTTGCCAGGTATTGATTACGAATGTTGCTATGGCTATTCTACTACCGCTGTTATTGATTCAGGATTTCAAGGAAGCGTGTTTTGACCCTGACAACGACTCGATCACATGGCTCCTTCATTGTCTTAGTCTGTAGTTTGTTTCTGAGACACACGTTTACTGATACCAATATACGTATCTGAATGAATGAGTGAGTGAGTGAGTTTTTAGGTTTACGCCGCTTTTAGCAATATTCCAGCAATATCACGGCAGGGGAAACCAGAAATGGACTTCACACATTGTATCCATGTGGGGACTCAAACCCGGGTCTTCGGCGTGACAAGCGAACGCTTTAACCACTACGCTACCCCACCGTCCCCGAATGAATGAATGAATGAATGAATGAATGTTTTCTATTTCCACCAATGGTTTGGAGAGTTACACATCCAGTTATGTATATATGTTACAGCAAAACAGATATTTGTGAAAAAATACAAAGTTCAATAATATTTGAAACACATTCATCGAGCCAGTGTAGACCCGAGTTAAAGTAAGTCCCCTTAAATCTACCATGGTAGGCACAGTCACGTGTGATAATGCTGACAATGTTGGTAGTAGTGTACCCGACCGGGACCGGAAGTACGTTGCTCTAATAATGATATCACTCACTCACTCACTCAGCGATGTGTTTCCTAGTGCTGTAGCTTCATTTAGTAGTAAGGTCCATTATATGGTGGCAGCTGTATACAGCAGGATTGATTCTTTTGCTGCCAAAATCAATACGTGGAACCATTACCCGGATACACGTTGATGGCGTGAGAACACGTGACCAGTTGTCACACAGGAGGCTTGTTTTACAGACAAACTGTATATTGACAGAGGAACCTGACTGCTTGAAGAAACTCGTGTCTCGTGTCTAAAGTACTGTCTAGTAATGACGCAGCTTGTTGAGCAAACTGGAATGTTTGTTAGTTGCCATGGTAGCAGTGTATAGTACGAGTATGGCACACTCTGAACTAATCACTGATACACACTGTAAGAATTACTTAAAGGAGACACACACTGTAAGAATTACTTAAAGGAGACACACACTGTAAGAAGTACTTAAAGGAGACGCACACTGTAAGAATTACTAAAAGGAGACACACACTGTAAGAAGTACCTAAAGGAGATACACACTGTAAGAATTACTGAAAGGAGACACACATTGTAAGACTTACTTAAAGGAGACACACTGTTAGAAGTACTTAAAGGAGACACACACTGTAAGAATTACTTAAAGGAGACACTGCGCTAATCAGTTGAAGGAAACAACCACCATTGTAATCAGTTGAGAGGAAACAAACAACATTGTTATCAGTTGAAGGAAACAACCACCATTGTTATCAGTTGAAGGAAACAAACAACATTGTTATCAGTTGAAGGAAACAAACAATATTGTTATCAGTTGAAGGAAACAAGCAATATTGTTATCAGTTGAAGGAAACAAATATTTTTGTTATCAGTTGAAGGAAACAAACAATATTGTAATCAGTATTAGGAAGCAAACACTATTGTTATCAGTAGAAGGAAACAAACACTATTGTTATCAGTAGAAAGAAACAAGCACTATTGAAATCAGTAGAAGGAAACAAACACTATTGTTATCAGTAGAAGGAAACAAACACTATTGTAATCAGTTGAAGGAAACAAACAAGATCAGTATTAGGAAGCAATCACTATTGTAATCAGTAGAAGGAAACAAACAATATTGTTATCAGTAGAAGGAAACAAACACTATTGTAATCAGTAGAAGGAAACAAACACTATTGCTATCAGTAGAGGGAAACAAACAACATTGTTATCAGTTGAAGGAAACAACCACCATTGTTATCAGTTGAAGGAAACAAACAACATTGTTATCAGTTGAAGGAAACAAACAATATTGTTATCAGTTGAAGGAAACAAGCAATATTGTTATCAGTTGAAGGAAACAAATACTATTGTTATCAGTTGAAGGAAACAAACAATATTGTAATCAGTATTAGGAAGCAAACACTATTGTTATCAGTAGAAGGAAACAAACACTATTGTTATCAGTAGAAGGAAACAAGCACTATTGAAATCAGTAGAAGGAAACAAACACTATTGTTATCAGTAGAAGGAAACAAACACTATTGTAATCAGTTGAAGGAAACAAACAAGATCAGTATTAGGAAGCAATCACTATTGTAATCAGTAGAAGGAAACAAACAATATTGTTATCAGTAGAAGGAAACAAACACTATTGTTATCAGTAGAAGGAAACAAACAATATTGTTACAGTTGAAGGAAACAAACACTATTGTTATCAGTAGAAGGAAACAAGCACTATTGAAATCAGTAGAAGGAAACAAACACTATTGTTATCAGTAGAAGGAAACAAACACTATTGTTATCAGTTGAAGGAAACAAACAAGATCAGTATTAGGAAGCAATCACTATTGTAATCAGTAGAAGGAAACAAACAATATTGTTATCAGTAGAAGGAAACAAACACTATTGTAATCAGTAGAAGGAAACAAACACTATTGCACTCAGTAGAGGGAAACAAACAACATTGTTATCAGTTGAAGGAAACAACCACCATTGTTATCAGTTGAAGGAAACAAACAACATTGTTATCAGTTGAAGGAAACAAACAATATTGTTATCAGTTGAAGGAAACAAGCAATATTGTTATCAGTTGAAGGAAACAAATACTATTGTTATCAGTTGAAGGAAACAAACAATATTGTAATCAGTATTAGGAAGCAAACACTATTGTTATCAGTAGAAGGAAACAAACACTATTGTTATCAGTAGAAGGAAACAAGCACTATTGAAATCAGTAGAAGGAAACAAACACTATTGTTATCAGTAGAAGGAAACAAACACTATTGTAATCAGTTGAAGGAAACAAACAAGATCAGTATTAGGAAGCAATCACTATTGTAATCAGTAGAAGGAAACAAACAATATTGTTATCAGTAGAAGGAAACAAACACTATTGTTATCAGTAGAAGGAAACAAACAATATTGTTACAGTTGAAGGAAACAAACACTATTGTTATCAGTAGAAGGAAACAAGCACTATTGAAATCAGTAGAAGGAAACAAACACTATTGTTATCAGTAGAAGGAAACAAACACTATTGTAATCAGTTGAAGGAAACAAACAAGATCAGTAT